GCACACATCATGCACCCGTACTTTCTGATTGGTTGGGATGCGTGTTTTATGAATGCACACATCATGCACCCGTACTTTCTGATTGGTTGGGATGCTGGTTTTATGAATGCACACATCATGCACCCGTACTTTCTATTTTTCTCCGTAACCAAAAAAATCCAGCTATCCTAATTTGTATTTTATAAAAAATGAAAAATTGTCTGCAGTTATATAGCGCGCAAAGATTAGCATGCGAGCGCATATGTGAGTGGTCTAATTTCAAACTCGTTTTCTGTTTAGTCAAAAGCTTATGTCAATATGTTGAGTTATAATGTTTGGTTTGTTTAGACGAGAGGCTCCACGTTGGATCTTAAAAATGAACAGAAAGGACTTCTTTGGATTCTTGACGAGGAATCTATCTTCCCTGGAGCCAATGATAGTAGTTTTTTGGCTAGAGTCTACGTACATCACTGTAGTGACAGTAAGTTACATCAAGAAAGAGACTGTGCCTAACGATGACACCCAAGAATTGGGGTCTAAGAAGTAGATATCTTGATGTTACTGAATGTCATTCAAAGTAGGGATGGCATGAACGCTATCTTTTGCGTGAGAGATTTCGAGCGTGCGGTCACTTCTTCATGCATGAATTCCTCTGTTTGTGTGTTTTATCATTACATCACCAGTAAGATCATCATTTCAGTGACCATGTTTTCATCTTCCACCAGAACAATCCTGGGTGAAGCAAGGACCTCGTAAAGACACCTTCTACGTCAACCACAGTCAGGGTACCGTACCAGTGCTGTACAACGCACGTGGGTGGCTTAAACTAGCCAGAGAACATTCTACAACCAAACAAGCTCGCGGCGTTCTCTCAGACTCCTCCAAGTAAGTATTCATCACCTGACCATAGTCACGAATACTCTTTGTAGACTCTTTGAAATATACATAGATACCGTGTCGTGGCGTGCTTGTGGGAATGTTAACCTTGCCTGGTGTGCGCAAACGTGATTGGATCTGTAGTTATCCTGCAAGGCGTTATTTGATTGGTGATTGATGACATCATTCCCGTACTTGCCGCCGAGTTTTTTGTTGTGAGAGGAGTGCAATAACTATCGGTTCTCATACAGTGACCTTTATAGGATTGCTGTGCGCAGACTTGATTGCATGGATCGGTAGCAATCCCGCGAGCTGTTATTTGATTTGTGATCGATGACGTCATTCCCGTATTCCCGCATGTATTTTTGGGAGTAAGGCAATAGCTATCGTTTCTCATCTAGTGATTGTATTGTCTGTGTCCTAACTTGATATCTTCAATCACCAGGCCACCAATTGCTGATCTGTTTAGTACGAGTAATACTGGGGAGAGCAGCATATCGAGGTCAAGAAGCTTCAAACGAACATCGATGACACCCCCTACTGCTATTAAGAAGAACTCCCAGTGTCTGCAACTGATATATCAAGTGGTATGTATATAAACACTGATTGCCGTGCATTCTGGTATAGCTTGAGTACAAACATCTTTTAGTTTTGCCTCATTTGATTTTGTTCGTACCTAAGCTATACCACAATGCATCATTTTGCACCAATTCACCAATTCACTATGCATTGATCAACACAACTTTGAAATAGCTATGCATACGATACTAATTGCCATCCCTTTAGTATGAAATGATTTTAGTTTCTTTAGTTAAATTCTCGATTGAATTTTTTTCCAGGACACAATTCTTGAAGCAATCCGCAAGACTAAAGTGAACTTTGTTCGTACCATCCTACCACTGATTGCAGATGGACTACAACAAGAAGGTGCAGATAAGGATAAAGAAGTGGCATCATTAGAAGTACCACTTGTCAGACAACAGCTGAGGGCTGCTGAGATGCTAGATGCCATACGAATACACAGACAAGGTACGAACTATTTCGATGGAGTAATGTTTTTTCAGACAATTCTTATTTATATTTGATGTGTTGCTGGTGATATGAAGATTTTCGATATGGTGGTAGCGGCGGGATTATCAAGAATACGACATATCGGTTCAAGCCTTTTAAAAACATATCTAGCAAAGTCATACCTCCAGCTGATGTTTCTTGTCTAGTTTTCCATGACTTTTACTTCCGGTGTATGAAACACATTACCGCTTCCGGTTCAGCTCCATTTTATGCAAATTGATCCATTCGTACCCTGCTACAAGCTTTAGTCACTTTTATATTAATGGATTATTAAACTGAGTGAAAGTTCCTGAAGACTAATGGAGTTTTGAATGGACTTACTATGACCCTTTCATTTTGAGGTCGTTATGTCAATCATTCTATCATACCCTTCACATACCTTCTACCAGGTTTACCATATTGGTTTTGTAAAGAAAACAACGCATTATTCTCTTTTATTGTTTTGCTATTATGAACAACTATTTCAATATAACTAATCCCTGAAACTGTAAGAAGTTCTCTACAAATCATATCTTTGCTCAAAAATATACTTTCAAGACTTAATTAAAAGTATTCTCTCAGTTTCGTACAGGTTTGTACTCGTTTTGTACGCTGGTGTTTCAAGTCGTATTAACGTCTAATCTTAGATGTTAATTATTCTATTGTTTGGTATTAGTTCTTTGATATCCTTTCAGCTTTGTTTACTGTTGGCTTGTCTAGAGGTTGGCCCATTTGGACATTCAAGATATCTAGATATTTAGTGATATTTAGCATACCAAGTTTACTAAGTTCTTCTCTAAAAGCCTAGCATTAGGGATGTGAAACTCGGTGTTCATAATATTGCAAGAAATCAGGAATATACGCTTGCTGTCAGCTTGGAAGAGTGTAAACATGTCTTAAGTGGCGAATAGTTTCGATCTGTAAGATGGAGAGCAAAGATTTTAGTGCTTTCAGTGGCTCTGGTTATAATGGAGGCACTAGATGTCTTCAGGCACAAGTTGTTGTAGTCGTTCATGCTGCTAAATTACAGGCATTTAGTGTACCAGGTTAGAAGAAATGCTGTTGACAATGATTTCATCGTGAAGAACGTGGATTAGCGTAGTCTTCAAGTAATTTAAAATCTACTGAAGCAGGGACACCCTAACGGTTGGAGCAATGTTAAGGAAGGAGTTGCATAGAAGATAGAGTTTTCGTTAGGTTTTTGTATTGGCTTAGAAGATTTGGAAAGCCAATCAAAGCAAAGCTTTACATCGTTAAACGAGTTTGCTTGAACATCAAGTGTCAGTTGTGAATCTTTTAGTTCATCAGCTTTTTGCTCGCTGTTCGGTTCTTGTCTTTGAGTTAAACCGTTAGATATAGCGCTGGTCTTTCTGCAGCTCAGTTGATGATGAGGTTTCAGTGATGTTGGTGATGGTGATGGTGATGGTGATGGTGATGGTAATAATGATGATACGTCATGACGATAATGATGATGATGAATATTTCCTCATGGTCCAACCCAGGGATCCCAATATTTACATTCTTTTCTCGTTCTATTTTTCAGGTTTCCCAGAGCACATGCCATTCGCTGAGTTTAGGCGTCGCTTTGATATCCTCGCGCCTGCAGAGCACAGGAATGCTGGACCATTCTTGGACGAGAAGAAGGTCACTACTAAAAATGAGCCTATTTTATTGAAAATAATCTTTAATCCCCCTACCTTTTCTAGTACAAGAATATTTCAACAAAAAACAAGACCATGATGTTGCATATCATACTCCACTCCTGTCGCTGGAAAAAGAAAACCATTTGAAAACATGCAAATTAGTTGAAGTCAAACTTGCAACCTTTTGGGCACTTCCATGTCATGGAAATATCACGGAGATATCATGGAGATGTTGGAGGTGTTATGGATACGAGGGCTCTTATGTGTTGGAATTATGTATGAAATATGCCATAAGTGTATAAACTAATTCATGGAAATGTAGAGGGATGTTGGGAATATGTGGGGATAGATAAGGTGAACTCCCGCCTTCGCCCCTCMCCCCCCCCCCCCGGATTGAGTTTGAAAGATATGTCTTAACATGGTTAATGCTGGTGTTCGATGATATGATGATGTGAAGTCACTATCAATACTAACGATCACTGCATGTGTGTTTCAGGGGGTAGAAGCTTTGATTGAACATCTTGATCTAGACAAGAGAAGCTATCGTCTTGGCTTGAGTCAGATCTTTTTCCGTGCTGGTTCGTTGGCCCAACTAGAGGACGCCAGGGATGAGAAGAACACGGGAACCATCGTCGAACTTCAGGCTCACTGCCGTGGATTCCTGGCCCGTAAAAAGTTCAAGAAGCTACAGGTAAGACACAGCAGTTTTTATTAGGTCTTTAGATTGATAATTCCTCAAAGGGGTGGGGGGCGCTTAATGGTTGTACTGTGGGTACAAAAAATAACCAATGTCAGTCCTACTGGATCATTTCCCAGGTCTGATTCCTGAGTTTGTTTGGAGTATAGTTCTCTCCCTCACTACGAGAGTTTTCTCCTTGATCTCCGGTTTTCCTTAGGCTAGTTAGTGAGTAAGTTGATGTCTTCCACAAGTTAGGTTTCAAATTAAAAAATTGAGATTGTCGCCTTGCGGACACCCCGATATTACCACACCTCACTTCACATTACTGACAGTAGCGAATTTCCCAGCGAAATAAATTCTGACATATGACCATAATTCTTGTTATTGGGGACGGTTCCTATTACGGACACCAAGTGACCATTCCCGAGTGTGTCCGCTGTAACGAGAGTTGACTGTACGTGTAGATACTCCCTTGCATTGATACATATGTACAGTTGTTATATATTGCATTATTTGTTGATAATATTAGGTTCAGAATCGAGCGATGATCTGTATCCAGAGAAATCTGCGCTTGTTTGCAGCTGTAAGGTCTTGGCCATGGTGGAGGCTGTACACAAAGGTAAATGATTAGAAGAAACGGTTACCATAAACCATATTATCACCACCACTACTACTACCACCACTACCACCACCA